CATCATCATCATCATTGTATAAAGAAGGTATTAAAACAGTTAAGACCTTGTTGTGTTTCCAGAAAATATAATATATTATACACAGTTCAAGGTTGTGCCCTCAACGGGCTACCTCACGAACATTCACAAAAATAACTGGCAAAAATCTAGATATGCACAGGCTATAAAAACTAAAGTGCGTACATAAATGTCTCAACATTTAAAGGAGCGGTGAGTACAAATCGCAAAGGCTATGTGCCTCTGAGTATAATGACAATGGAGCCAAAAAAGAGCCTTGCTCTCGCTCGAAGATTTCTTCGGCGAGTCCACCATGCCCATTAAGGAGACAAAGAAAACCCCATCCTCATCATCGTCATCATCATCAGAAAATAATATAACTACTATGTCTCCTTACTATTACTTTACTTGAACTCTTCCTCACTCCCCCTCCCTCCACCTTCTCTACGCTCTATTTCCAACTTCCTCTCTTTGCACTGTCTTCTCTGTTTCAACTCTACCCACTCCCCCCTCATCCTCCCCTAACACACACACACACACATACACACATACACACACAACCCACATACACACACAAAGACACACCAACACAAACACACACACAAACACACACACACATACACACACATACACATCTTTTCTTCCATCCTCCAATTTAATCTTTGAACGTTTACATCTATCCCCAGACGTCACATGTGCACACAAGCTCGTCACGTGACCCACCCAGTACCCGTGCGACAAAGCTACAGGCGCCCCGTCTACAGGAAAGACTTACAACGGTGCGCAGGCCTCCACCCTTGTCAATTCTACAGGTGCATGAGTAGAACTAACAATAGACTTTGAGAGCCTGCTCACAGCTTATAGCTAAAACTAATCGCGCAATTTTAAAAGAACTTAAAGAACCTGATATACTTATACAAAACGACACAATTGTAAAAGAACTGAAAGAACTAGATAATATATTCAAACTTACAGGCGCACTTTTAAAAGAGCTAAAGGAACCAAATGTATTCAAACAAACTGCACAATTTCAAAAGAACGAAAACAAACTATGAAATAAAATTCTTTGGAACTGTATCAGAGTCAAACTAAAAGAGTAAACTATGTACTTTCAGTTCAGGTGTCTTGGCAACACTTTCATTAAAATAAAAATTGTGGAAAGGAAAAAACCCAAAAAGCTTTCTCTTTCTTATGACAAACAACTATTCACACAGCGCTCCGGCTAGGGAGCTGTCAGCAGGCTCGATATGTAGTCTTACTTAAAGCATGGTTGTAATTATGTTTGATCGCTTTTAAGAACAAGCAGGCTCACCCAGATTTCGGGGGTTTCCAGAAATCTTGACCTACACCAAAAGTGGGTATTGCCCTTCCTAAAGGAGAAGTTTGGTTTCATTGGTATGTATATTTGTTTGGTCAAAGAGAAAACTCCCCTTGTCTTTTAAAGAAACTGAACAACGGGTAAAATCTTTACCTTCGGTTTTCTCAAAACAGCATTTTTCGGGATAGCCCCCTTGTGCTTAAAAGCGACCGTTTGTGCTAGCGGGGTGTTTGTCAAAGGCTTGTATTTATGTGATATCCTAGACCAAGAGCTCTGATGCATTTTCAGTTCATGGCTCACTATGGAGCGCACAAATTTGACTCTGGTTGAGTCCTCTAAAGGACAGGAAAGGGGGGGGGGGAGGTAAGATGCCGAGCTCACTTGACTACCCTAGAATTACAAAGTTCTGCCTGCCCAGTACCTAGTTTTAAGAAGTACGACTTTAAGAGTGTTGCGTTGCACTTATTGTCAAGCTTTTCAGAATGCATTTCTTTGAACATCTTGATAACGATTTCAAAAATAACCTAACGATTTTGATAAAACAGATAGAACATTTGATTTCTGACTTCATTGTCTAAGTAACTCAAAACGGCCAAAAATGTCAGAACTTTGTAATTCTAAGGCAGCAGCTCGACTGTCATGAAACTTGGTGTTTTGTCCTTCATTTGGGCGCCCATGGTGCGCACGCACGCTTCGCAGAGAAGCTTTTATTAGGAGCAAAGTGAAGTGGTAGTCATGACAGTGCGCACTGTCTGATCAAGGATATTATATTTAATGCAAGTCGATGTTGTACTCGACTACAACCAGCATGGTAATGATGTACTGTGCGCTCATGTGAAAGACCTCCACTCCCTCCCCTCTCCCCCCTTTTGAGTCTAGAAGTAGAAGGACATTATGTCAATATAATCCAGACAAAACAATACAAAACGCATGGTACTAACGTATGGTGTTTCCATATCTAACAACCCCGCTCCCCACCCCTACTCCCCAGTGTGAGTGCAGTATAGTAGGACATGTACTCAAATGACAACCTAGTTCAGGCCAAACAACACCAAGTATGGTACAAAGTGTTTCCATATTTAATTATCCCCCCCTCCCTCTCTCTTCTCCCACCCCCACCCCCACTCCCTGTGTGAGTCCAGTCGGTCATGTACGTCTATCCAATCAAGAGAAAACACAACGCAAAACTCACAGGACTCATAATATGGTGGTTTCATGTTTTATATCATTGTCACCGCCCCCCCAAAAAAAACAAACAAAAAAAACAGACAAACAAACAAACCTCCTTCCGCTCACCCTTGATTCTGTTCAATACTGTATACAAAATAGTAGCTCACAAGAAGAAGGAGAACAACACCCCTTCCCCACCCCCAGTCCCTTCCAAAACCGAAAACGAATGGCCAACGTAAATACGAGAGTGGATCAAAACGTAATGGAAATTGTGAAGTATCTCAAAAACTCGTTGATACTCTGGACCTGATATTTTCACAGTCCCTTGAAATATTCTTCTCCACTAGATCTATGCACGCACAATTTCAGCCTCTGCTGCCACATCGGGAAGGCACAGCAGTGGTCATCTTCTGGTAGCTCTATGCTTGAAATACCCGGAAGTCACAGGAAGCTAAATCAGGACTATAGGCAAGATGCACAGAGTTTGTGGCTCTTGCTTTGTGGGCTGCTGAATTGCAGCGGAGGAATATTTCGTTGCCTTAGAATTACAACGTTCTATCTACTCCCAGGACGTAGTTTTGGGGCATCTGACATTTTTCAAAAAATGAGTTTTACAGCATGTCAAGATTTTTCGGAAAAAAACCTCTTTGAATATCTTGATAACGACCCCGAATAGTCTTACGATTTTGATGAACAGATATAGAACATTTGGTTTCGGATCTCATTGTCTTAGTTACTCAAAAACACCAAAAACGTCAGACAGAATTTGGCAATTCTAAGGTAAAAAATTTTCAAGAGAATCCGATCTTTGGTGTTTGCTCATCAACAGCATTTTTCAACTGAGGTAGTTACTTTTGCACATCATAAGGTGTAATAGTAGTATTATATAGCATGATACCAACCACCTGATGACCGCTATTGTTAATGAAAAAGATAGTTAAAAGCTTCTTTCTTCTTTGAAATCTCGGAACCAAAACGACAGACCTGTCTCCTTTTTTTATATATCCGTCTGCGATTCAGACGTTTTGATTGAATTCTATTAAGGGAATCCATGTTCCATCTCTCGTGACAATGTCTGTAAGATGCCTGGGACCATGGGCTTCAAACATTTTAACCAATTTTGTGGCATATCTCACCTTTTCTCTCCTT